AAATAATGTTGCCAGCTATACGTTTTTTTGGGGGAAAAATAATGTTGCCAGCTATACGTTTAATTGTGCTGTATATTTTATATATATATATATATATATATATAATATATATAAACTTAATTTGGCATTAAATGACCTACAGTGGTTGATATGCCATAAAACCCAACCAACCAACCAACCAACCAACCAACCAACCTAACCTGGGTTTCTAATAAAAAGAAAGTCAATGCGAAACATTTCTTATAGAGAGAAAATGCCATGTTACTTCCATGAAGTCGAATCACCTCCATTTCCTCCGTAGTCGAAATGTAAGGCGAACGTTCCAGTAAGAACTGCTACGTTGTAGAACAGACTCCCGTGTGGATGCTTCTTTGAAAACTACAAACTTAACCTTATCAAGTCATGGATTAATCATTATCTATAATCTTTATAATAATCTTGATTTGTTGACACCTCATCTTTCATTGATACTGAAAATGATCTTCAATTGGTTGTTGAATGAGACAAGATATAGCTTGTAAATTTTAACGCCTTCAAAACAAAACTGCTGTCTTTTAGTCATCATAGAGAAGCATTTTTGCTCCCATCAGTATGGCTGATGCCAACCTTCAGGAGAGCAACACGTTTGGCTTTCTCTGTCACACGTTTATCATTGGCATGAAGTGAAATGATAATATTGAATCAAAGTTTAGGACAAGTGGGTTCTCTGTGTCCCTTTAGACCATTTTCTCGCCAGAATCCACATTATAAGTTATAAATCTTCCATTCGCCTGTGTTTTGACTATTGCTGCCACATCTGGTCTGGTGCTCCTGCTATATATCTCCAGATTCTTGAGAAAATCCGAAGAAGTTATCAGTCCTGACCATCTCGGCACCACTTGATTTCCTACCACCGTAACGTTGCTTATCTGTGTCTTTTTTATAAATATTTCGATGGAAATTGTTCTGAGGCGTTTTCCGATTTGTTAGCGCTCTACATCCTGAATTTAAGTGTGATAAAACAAAGACTCATCGTTTTGTTGTTGAAATAGTGAGATGTACCGTAAGTTATATTCTAACAGCTTCTTCATTACACTTCTTGCTTGTAGAATCTTCTAGCTTTTTGCTTTCCTGTCAGCTACAAATTTAAAAAAAATGCAAATGCAACATCAATCACTTTCTTCCGTCTTTCTGAATTCTAAGCTTTTATTGACTTTTCACTGAGGTTTTTGTCATTTTCTTTCATTCCCAATTTACTCCTTTTGTCTTAGTGGCATTATCGCCTTGATTGGGTGATAGCTTTTTAAAAAGTCATGCACGTCATTTTAACAATAACCGTCTACCTTAAGTTGATGCCGAGCATTTTACTCAGTATAAAGAAAAACTTCAGCAAATGAACTAAACAAAATAAACCGAGATCGAATTCAGGTTGAAGATAATTGTATCATGAAAAATGTAATGTCCTTTCATTGGCATACAATGATATATGACGGGGAGGGGGACCTCAAAATAGTTCTTGCAAGGGCAAATCTCCCACCACTGCTTCGCCTGACATATCCAATTACAACTTTGGCTGACGTGTATTTCTTTTCTTAAGATCCGGAGAATTTAAAAGGAAATTTGTAAAATATTTATGAAGTTTGTCTCGAGTATTTTGTTTGTTTTTTTAATGACAACTTTTCCGTTATTGAAAAGCAAAGAAAAACTTGAAGCTTTGCGTGTCATGGGGGTTGAAAAAAGATATATATATATATTTGTTTTTCATTTTAAAGTCTGTGTTTGTATCTCTTGACATGGTATTTTCATATTGATCAAAATGAAACTTTCTATACTGGACAGAGTTTTAAGGAATCTGGTTTTGCCATTATAATAAAAGCCAGCAAAAATTAGACAGATTAAAAAAAAAAATACACAAGCATAAACAAAAAATTGGGCACAAAAATAAGAATGAGGAAAAATAGTTATATTTTAAAAAGGGAAACAGAAGACGAAAATGTCTTTGAAGAGAAAAATTCTTTTAAATAAGAGAAAAAGTCGAAAATGATTGGCCTAAGAAAAACTAGAAAGTTAAAACTAAAATTGGCAGAGAAAAAGGACAGAAAAATACCTTTAAATACAAATAATATAGAAAACTCGTTATGTTATGTCACGAGAGTGAACTATTAGATTAATGTAGTTATTTATTCCCAAGCTGGGCGACATCGCCCACGGGCGAACGATTTCAACCATTGGGTAGGCGCACTAGCAACTGAACAGAAAATGGCGGGCGACTGGAAATTTTAGTGGCCACTATAGAAATTTGAGTGTTAAAACGATCTTTCACGATAAGCTACCCGAAAAAAATATTCAAAGGGGATATGCAAATAACCTGTATTAAAAAACAAAACAAAAAAGAAAACAAACACTGGGAAGAACAGAGCCACATTCATATAGATAATATATAAATACCCCCTCAAAAATGGGATATTTTGGTATTTACTATAGTTTTTAGAAGAGTCAGAAACATTCAAGTAGTTCTTCAGACAAGATAAAAAAATTTTCGGATATAAATCAAATAAGGGATTTGCCTGAAAAATTAAGAAATCACCCCAGGGTAAATTTAATTTAATATAAAATTGTTTTTATATTTTTTTTTATCACATTAGCCATCACGAATTTATCAAGTCAGGATAAATGCCCATCAAAAACGTAATTCAGCCACCATTTTATGCTTTTGAATATTTACTATAGACGTGAGCTGTAGAAAAAGTGGGCAATAATGCAAAAAATTTTGGGAAGTCCTGTTCTAACCATTCACTCAAAATGCAACAGACGTCCCTACACCCACTGTCGTTTTAATTTTCTCTTTTCAAACACCTATTGTACGAAAAAGTTTACATAACTCAATTTTTCTTCTCCTTTTCCAATCTTTCACATTACAACAGGCAAATGAGGCAGGAGAAGCGAAAATATTACAAAGATCAAAGTTTTAAAAATGGCCATTAGATTCTGAAAGCTGTTGATTTAGGACAGAAAGTAAAATAACCCTATGCAAAGATTGTGATGTAAATTCATCTGTAAAGGACTGAGTATCCTGCAAAAGGTAAAGAAGCATTCGTATAAAGAAAATTCCAAGTTAAAGAGTGGCAATATCCCTGCAGGAAGAACATAGATAAATATTCTGAAATGGAAGAAAATTTGGATAATTTGGATTATTTCTAGACGAAAAAGTTTTGGTATGCTTTTGATTATTTAATATACAGGTGACCTGTTGAAAATTTTCCATGTGGATGTGGGCGATGACGTAAAAGAGGTTGGAAAACTCTGGGTTAATGCTATAATTCTTAACCTTGTTTTGTACAATGTTACAGAAATCATACTTAGCACTTTATTGTCTGCGTAGGCGTCGGAATTATTTGCATTGTAATTTTGAAGGGACTGAAAAATACTTTCCTTTTTGTCCCATGTATTCTTGGGAATCACACTTTAAGCTTGACCTTGTGCATATTCAGTTCGAGTGGGCGCATGGATAAATCCATACCAACCACCTGAGCCGGACGAAATCTTCATAATCTACACTTATTTCCTCCATGCAACAACTTCACTCAGTGACGTTCAGCAGCTCTTGGGTTTATTGTTAGGTGAATATTAAGTCAAGAAAATCCTGCTGTATTTCACATATAGTATTACGGAGTGAAGTAGAATGAAGTAGAAAGTTAAGTAGAAATACGACAAAAGATTAAACAATACTGTGACCTCAACCGAGGAAAAAAACAAACTATATACTATGAAGTTTAATGGCATACCAAAATGGTGCAACATTAACCTTCATGTCCCACAGTTCATTACTCTATTAACCTTCATATATCTCATATTCTATTAATCTTCATATTCAATTAACATTCACATTCAGTTAACATTCATATTTTATTAACCTTCATATTCAATTAGCATTCACATTCAGTTAACATTCATATTCTATTAACCTTCATATTCAATTATCATTCACATTCAGTTAACATTCATATTCTATTAACTTTCATATTCAATTAACATTCACATTCAGTTAACATTCATATTCTATTAACTTTCATATTCAATTAACATTCACATTCAGTTAACATTCATATTCTATTAACCTTCATATTCAATTATCATTCACATTCAGTTAACATTCATATTCTATTAACTTTCATATTCCTTTATAATCCATAGTTTGTGCATTTGGACCATGTTTGCAAGCATCATAGGCTGTGGTTGATTTTGTTTATCGTCATATCAACCTCTGTGGGTTCGTTGTAGTCGGCACCCACGCGTAATCGAGTATCGTGATCGTCATCCTCTCTCCCTATTCTCTGACTTCTCGTGTGGTTAGCGGAGATGAAAGAGAGTTTGACGAGTGAATTTGATTTTGGTGGACAACCCTGCTCGAAATCTAAATGTACGCAAATGTATGACTTCAGCTATATCTATTTTGCACGCAATTTTAAGCCTTCAATTATAGATATTTCCGACATAATTTTATACTTTCAGGGCAAAAAAAAGGACATTTTTATCAATAGATAATTTATAGATAAAATATATTTTTGGTAATTTTTATAAAAATATATTGCCGTTAATTTTAGTATAAAATTGTATTTTTATATTTAGTATTGTATTGATTGCCATTTTGCTACAAAATGTATTGTTGGTAATTATTTTTATAAAAATGTATTGCTGGTATTATTGCTATAAAGATAAATTATTAGGGCATATAATGAGGAAAGGGGTCTTGGAAAATCTGATTGAAGGCAAAAAGAACAGAGCAAAACAATGCATAAAATACTTGGTGAGCTTGAGTAAATGGATGGGGGAACAAAGTTTCGGAGAAATAAAAAGACAAAATTGTGGAGGGCTATGATCGCTTTCATCCTGAAGGAACACGGTGCATAAATAAGAAAGGGGAAGTATTTTAATTTTTGTTTGTGGGTTCTCTCTTTTTTAATACCTGGGACCCCAACAGGTGTTACCACCTCGGGTCTGGGTGTTCCAAACTTCTGAAGCCCTTTAATCTGCCAATCAGAGGCCTTTCTTTCTTTCTTTCTTTCTTTCTTTCTTTCTTTCTTTCACTGAAAGCAAGTAATGTATCTTCCTCACTTTCCACGTGATCAAAACTCATTATTTTTGAGGTATTGACAGAACGTAACGGCCGTGGTAGCTAACGATGGGATAGACAATTATAATTATTATTATTAATAATAATAATAATGATTTACCAAAGAGTTTCGGAATTTAAGAAGCATGCACTTGACGTTGCTGCCAGTAATTAAAGGAACGCTGGGAATGGCCCTTGAAATTTTAGACAGGAGGAAATAAAATCTGAAGACTATTTGGAACCGTCAACACGATGGTAATACTGAGAAATATAGGACACTGAATGTAATTAGCAATTTAAGACACCGGTTACTAATTCGTGTGAAGATTCTTTGACTATATGACAATAAATGCATGAATGAATGAATGAGTGAATGATTGATTGATTGAATGAATAATAATATAATTCTACTTGTTCTATCGTTCCTCAGTTAGTTTGCATGTACACACGTACGCTACGCCGTGTCGATACCTTATAAATAATGGACAATTCAGTTCTGATCACGTGAAAAGATGGAAAAGACATAACAGAGACGCTGCTTGGTTTTGAAAAAAAAAAGGTCAGAGACTGAAGATAGAGGAGTCGATATGGCTTTCATGTTTTTAATGTATACTTCATTGAAATCGAAAAATTGGAATTTTCTAATATTTTCATTTGTACCCTCTTACTTCTTTAAATAATGACCTTAATTCATACTTATGCTTTTTATTGTAATATTCATGTTAAAGTTGTCAAGCTCAAATGTTTAACGATGCAATATAGGAAATTCCACGGGTATTTTATTGTCGTGGAACTCAAAAGTCGCGCATCCAATCATTAGCTTAAGTATCATGTGTCATAAGAAAATTCAAATAGCAAAACCGTGAAATTTTCACAAGTATTCATAGTTAATATTATTATTATTGTTATAGTAAATCATAAATCACACACATACACACACACTCATATGTATATATACACACGGTCTGATCAAAAAGTATCGGGACTTGTTGCTATGGTAACGGAGAAAAAGTACCCAAATTGAAGCCGCTTGGTATAGACTGACCTCTGACTCTGTCGCATATTAATTAATTGTACTAATTTATACCATTCTTGCTCACTTCCATTATTTCTACCAATTCTTGGTAGGAACGTTTGTAGAGTAGGATCGCCTCGCCACACTAAAGGCGTTCCATCAGTGGGCATGGCTTCTGTCGTAGTTTCTAGCTAAAAGACAATATTCCCCAGATCCGAAAATCACCATATTCCCTAGATTTCGTCCCTTGCGACTCTTTCCATTTCAAAAATAAAATTTCCCGCTTGAAAAAAAAAAAAAAAAAAAAAATAGTTTTCGCGACAACGAGGAAATCCAAGAGAATGTTCGCGATCCCCACGAAAATGACGTTTCAGGAATGCTTCCATTAACGGAAACGGCGCTGGATAAAGTCTGTGACTTCATAATGAGACTACTTCGAAGGAACTTAAATCCCGAATTGATATGTGTTGTAGTTTTCTTTTTAAAGAACTAGTTTCGAAATTTTCTGATTATGAAATAAGGGTTTTCCTTCCGCTAGGTGAACTGCCTTCTAGGCTGGCCAGCTCCACCTACCTGATACCGGATGTAATTTAACGTCATACCCAGGATTTTTGATCAGACCTATATCTATATTGCTTAGATATAATAATAATAATAATAATAATAATAATAATAATAATAATAATACTTAAAAAAGACAGCAAGGACGAATGGAACCGACCAGATACAGAAGCGATGGCAAAATAAACCGCTTCATGGCCAATACTCTGTCCGTACCAAACAAGCTGACGTAGACAAAACTCGTACCCATCAGTGGCTACGTAGTGCAGGGTTGAAAGCGGAAACTGAAAGTTTTATCCTTGCTGAACAGGACCAATGCTTGCTAACTAGGAATTATCAAGCACAATTACTAAAATATTGTGTCAGCCCAAAATGCAGATTCTGTGATAAATATCCAGAAACGATTGAACATCTTGTATCAGGTTGCACGATATTGGCACCCACTGAATATAAAACCCGGAATGACAGAGTGGCCCAGTATCTGTACTGGAAAATCTGCAACTTCTACAGGAAGGAAACTGAAAGAAACTGGTATGAACACCACCCAGACCCGGTTACGGAGATAGGACCTGTTACAATTCTATGGGACTACACAATACACACTGACAGAACAATCAAAGCCAACCCCCCTGATATTGTTATTAAAGACCACAAACAAAAAACGTGCATCCTTATTGATATGGCAGTCCCTGCTGACTGCAATGTATCTTTGAAGATATAAAAAGCTGTCAAAATACAAGGACCTTGAAATAGAAATCTCGAAAATGTGGCATATGGGAACATCAACAATCCCTGTTGTAGTTGGAGCCCTAGGACTGGTTGGAAAAGATTGCATTAGACTAATTGAAGGGATTCCTGTAAGTCAATGCCTCAAGGAGATACAAAAAATTGTTCTGACAAGTACAGCCCATACTATGTAGTGCTGTGTTAAAAGCTGAAAATGAAGGTTTTATTCTTGCTGCACAGGACCAATGTTTGCTAACTAGAAATTACCAAGCACACACACAGAAAATTTATGTCAATCCAAAATGCAGATTCTGTGATAAATATCCAGAAGCAATTGATTATTTTGTATCGGGGTGCAACCTATTAGCATTTCCTGAATATAAAACACGGCCCAACAGGGTAGGCCAATAGGCACTGGAAAATCTGAAACACTTACGGAAAGGAAACTCCAAGAAATTGGTATGAACACCACCCAGACCCGATTACGGAGACAGGACCTGGGACAATTTTATGGAACTTTACAATACACGCAGGCAGAAAATCATACTTATTATAAAACCCAGGTTGTGTGTGGTGTGTCTGTACGTTTATATATTGGATCGGATTTCCTACATTTTTCAACCGATTTCAACAAAACTTCACAGGACTACGTAAAATTACTTTGCGGTGGTTCTGACAGCGCCAAAAATTGGAAAAACACAATTGTTTTTGTAAAAAATCAGTTTGAAAACACGGTTAATAGGCATCCCGAAAATGGAAGGGGGACAACTCATATAGAGTTATACTTATTATAAAACTCAGGTTGTTTTTGTGTGTGTGTGTTCGTTTATATATGGGATCAGATTTCCTACATTTTTCAACCGATTTCAACAAAACTTCACTTTTTTTTGGTATGTAGTGTTTCTTATTGTCTTGCACACTTTTTTCTTTATTTTTACATTCAGAATGCTTTAAAAATTCCATTTACAAGACAATTGTTTATAATAAAATTCTATTCAATCGATAGACTCATAACAATTGAAAACAATGTTTTTGTTTGAGTTTGGGTTTGACCAATTCGTAAAAAAAAAGAAATAATTAAGACATGCGTGTCCGTCAACCTTAAACAATAATCTTTGTCAATTTTATTTTTCAGTCTTTATGATGGTCGATACTGGATCTATCTCTTACTGTTATATCCCCGGGCAACGCCTGGCTCTACTGCTAGTCACAGCTAAAAGCCCTCACATTGTTATTAGTGACTGAAAAGATAAAATGTGCCTCTCATTAACATGACAGTCCCAACTATCAAAATACTATCAAAATACAAGGACCTTGAAACCGAAATCTAAAAAATGTGACGTATGAGTCCATTAATAATTCCAATTGTAGTTGGAGCCCTCGGATTGATTGGAAAAGATTCCAGTAGACTCATTGAAGGAATCCATGGTAGCCCATGCCTTGGGGAGATGCAAAAGATTGTACTCACATTTACAGCCCGCAATTTACGACGGGATTTGTCTATGTAAAATATGTGCGATTCTTTTGTTAAACTGCTCAGTGGAAGATCCCTGATTTTAGGTCTCTGGCCGGGACCCGGTAAGAAATGTGTATACACCTGAAACCAAAGGAAATAAAAGAACAATAGATCAACTAGTATCATTTTGTAAGAAGTAAATCTGTGAAATGTAGCCTCTTGATTTGTCCTATAGAATAACCCTTCAAAAATATTTTCCGTTCTCTGATTTGCTGGTTTTTTTTTCCACGTAGGATGAAAAAGAAAAGGCAAATCTATGATATTAACCCTAACATGGGTTCACCATTGGCGCCAATCCGTCTCAGATACAGCTGCTACATCAAAGTAAGCAAAAAGAAATAAAACCGATATATTGATCCGGAAAACGTGCCTGATCCTGAAGTCTACGGCTTAATAAATAAATAAAAACATGCTGTTTTTTTTATTCTTAGGGATCATGTCCTGGATTTAAGTCAGTCATCAATGAGCAGTAAAGAAAAAAAAAACCCGGCTTAGCTGAATAAAAAAGAAGGACAAAGATGCTCTTCACTATCATTAATACATTGATTTATATAGAAAGATTTTGGTTGTCTACACAAGCTGAAATAGTTGACCATTTCCTTTGACTGGAGGTTACGGCCACATCATTCTAAAACACCAGTTACCATACGATCACCGCAGTCAAACAACGTCGATCCTGTTCAATACCTAGGTGACCGCTTGGGAATATTAAGTGCTGTCAGCTTATCTATGTCGGTGGTATAATAGATAATGCCTCGGAATTGTTAATCGGAGATCCGAGTTCAAGTTGGGTTCGTTATATTCACTTACGCGCAAATAGTCTTGGGAAGATACAGATCCACATCTTCTCTCCCCAGCTATGGGTTAATTAGTAAGACTTGTATCACTAAAGTAATATTACGTGAAAAAAAATCTGAAAATATTTTTTGGCTTTGAATAACATGCAAAGGGGTGATAAACCGTGGAAAAATGAATGAACTAATGAATTAAACCTTTTGACCGACACAAGGGGTCGCTGTTTATGCTCGTAGAATAATCAAGAATTTCAAGTACTGATTTTCAAAAATGAGAAAGCCCTCTTTATTTGAAAGACTGGTGTAAGACAATCTTTCTTCTTCGATGTGTCTAAGTTTGAATCTTTGCTGAACTTGGTAAATATATCTTGTTAGCCAGTAATGTCCTTGATCTGATTGTTGCCGATTTCCGCACAACACCATAGAAAGATTAACAATCAAGGAACGTGTTAAAGTTATCGAAGCCTATTACGAAAATGGACGTTCAAATTTATAAATATACGGACCAATGATTCCGCTAGCAAAAAAATCCGCTCCAAACAGTGACCTGTTGTGGATGCAGTGGCTTTCAAAAAAATCTTCTTTGGTTTTTCAGCAGCCGAAATGCAACAATTCTGTTTATTAATGAGTCTACCAAGATGAAAATAGGCTTAATATCTGGAGAGGACTTTTTTGCGAAAAATCTTCATTGATTTGTCTTTCATCGCGCACACAATTGACGAAAATACGACGCTCCAAATCAGCAGGTTTCAGTTCTTGTGTCAATTGAATTTTGTAAGCGTGTAGAGACAAATCTTTTATCAAAATTCGATGTAACGTTGTTGTGGAGAGGTTCCTAACCTGCGTGTGATGACGAATAGAGTTGTCTTGATTTTTCGGCCATATTTTTGCGCTCCGCAGCAATGTTTTCAGCTGAACGGCGTAAACAAGCATGCAATGGTGTTTTCACATCTGCCACCGATCCAGTTTGTTTGAGTTCACGAACAATTGCACTCTCGATTGGTCGATTATGTTGACCAAAAAAATCACGAAGTGTGCGAAATTCATTTCTGTTTGAACGTCCATTTTCGTAACAGGCTTCGATAACACGAATGTTAATTTTTCCACGGTTGAAATTGTCAAAGACTTAAGTTGTTAAATCTGAAGAAAAAAGAAAAAAATCATTAGACACTTAAAATTAATTCACATTTACAATCGGTCCAAGATATTGTAACACACTTTATAATGGGAGAATAAACGTTTCTCCCATAGCTCTTTCCTATTATATAGTGGGTGCGCGGTGATAATGGATGGCGGTTTGAAATGAGAGAGCTGAGTTCGAATTTCAGTCAAGATCCCTATATTCCCTTGCGTGCAAATATTCGAGAGACGGGTATAAATCTAGCGCCTCTCTTCGCACTCGAGAAACCAGTCTAGGACAAGGAAGAATAATTCAAATCAGCATGTAGACTATCTTGTTCAAGACACACCACTGTTACTACGGCTGCAGTACATGTGGTGCGCCTACGCCACTAACGGGACTCATGATTGAGATATGATTGCATAGATTACTTTATTCGATGAAGAATAAATTATTAGTAAATAGTTTATGGCTCGAGCTGAAATATCTAAAAACATTGTTCAATTTTTGAGTGGATCAAATGAAAGATCTTTAAGACTTAACATCTGATTTAGTCCTCCCCTTTAAAAATCTGATTAAGCCTTTCAATTTCTTTAACATCTGATTTCGTCACAAATGCCCTGTTTATTTTTTGGTGCCATGTTTGTCTAATGCAATCAGCTTCTCTTTAAATATGTTGCACTATTATATGCACTTATTGCATTTCGGATTAAAACCTAAATTTGGTTTTTTAGTGTCTAGCGTTAATTCCTTAGAAGTAGCTTCGTTACAATTAAATAACAGAACTCTTTGAAGTAAAGATGCTGTCCTTGAAATTTAGTATTAAAACCATAGGAATATTTTATTCTTTGTCATATATTATGGATTCTTGTGACTTATCTCTTTCGTTCTCTGTATGACGATAAACTACATCGGGCAGCAGGGCCACTGATCAGGAGGTTTCGATGAGCCTGCAACCACCTCTTAATTGCTGTTGTTCTCAGGTCCACACTGACCCGGGGTGGTAGCATCTGTTAGGGTTCCAGATATGGGCAAATGGTTAACTGGTAAACTGGGGTCACAACATTATGAAAGTATAAAAATACATTTTATATTAAAAATACCAGCAATACATTTTCATTGTAAAACAATTACCAGCAATGTATTTTTGTAAATAAACAAAAAAATATTACCAACAATAAATTTTTGCAAAAGAAATTACTGATGCTTCCAAGAAAATGAAATTTCGGCATTAAATGACCAATAATGAGTATTTAGCCACTAAACAAACATTTATTTCTTCAACGTTCTGATTGTTTCATATATATATATATATATATATATATATATATATATATATATATATTATGTTTGAACTTTTGGGTACTTTGTGCTAGTGAGCCAACCAAAATGAGCTGACTCATTTTATAGTCCACCAAGAGAAGGGTTAACCAATCAGAAAGCTCAAAGTATTCAATCCGACGTGTATAAAGGCAGCCATTTTGTTTTTTCACCAAAAAATATCTTCCCTGCCAGCCTTTGATATCGAAGACCTGAAGAATTACTTAACAGCTGCTACTTTCTCCGAATATTCACTGCCAACCTCTGACATCGAAGACCTGAAGAATTATTGAACAGCTGCTACTAGTGATATTGGCGTTGTTCCATTGAACACATTACGTACTGCCCTGGATTCTATATTCAAAGACTACGGCAAACATGGTCAACATATTATTCTATTGTTTTATAGATTTGTAGAGGAGCTGTTATACAATAATTTATTCGACGAGTCCTTGTTTTTTTTTCCGTCTTAGTGTTCAGCTCGTCAAGAAATGGTTTTCTATAATCTCTTTAATCTGGAGTTATCAGAAATGATTATGTTGGGAACTTTCTCCGACACAGCTAGAATGTGCAGAGATCTATAATACGTAAAGCAGAGATTTGCTTGTCTTGATAGGAAGCCTACACTGAAAATGTCACATTTAAAAAGAACAAATTCCGTAATGAGTTTGATATTTGTCACGCATGAAATATAACACGTTGTCGTTCACCATATATTTTTATGTTATCCTTGAAGCGAGCTTCATAAAGACAATCGTAGCGAAGAAGCTTTTTTTTAATAAATTTTAAAAGCTTCGGGCATCAATCTCTTCTTTTCTTTTTCTTTCTTTCTTTCCTTCTTTATTTCTTTCCATATGCATTTAATTATCTATCTATCTATCTATCTATCTATCTATCTATCTATCTATCTATCTATCTATCTATCTCATTCTGCTCATATCTATTTTTCTTTCTTTCTTTCTTTCTTTTTTCTTTCTGTATTTAATTATATCCTTCCACCTCTTCCATTATGCATTCTTTTCCTCTTTCATTTTCTGTTCACCTATTCTTTCTTTCTTTCTTTCTTTCTTTCTTTCTTTCTTTCTTTCTATCTATCTTTATTAATTATTTATTCCTTTATTATATCTATCTATCTCTCTCTCTATATATATATATATATATATATATATATATATATATATATATGTAAAATAAATCCTAAAGAACCAGGAACAACTTACATAGGTTTAACTTAAACAGACCTTTAGCGTTTTAGCTTTATTACTCGCTGGTTTTTTTCTTTGGACTAAAAACTTATGCCACCGGACAATTTTTTTCCACCCTGTTTGGATGTTTCTAGTTCTTTTTTTTTTCCAATTTTAAGTATAGGATTGGTGTATACCAATAGAAAAACCCTTTATTGGCGAATACCCTTTATTCTACATTCAACATCACTTGATAAGACACCAGAAGTGTTAAAACAAAAAGGCTAACATATTTATGTGATAATTTTCATATATAAATATATATATATATATATATATATATATATATATATATATATATATATATATATATATATATATATATGTATGGAGACAGACAGACAGACTGAGGGAAAAGAGATTTCTCAGTCTGCTCATATTTATCCATTTTTCTTTCTTTTCTTTTCTTTCTTCATTATTTAATTATATCCTTCCACCTTTTCCATTATGCATTCTTTTTCTCTTTCCTTTTCTGTTCACCTATGTTTTCTTTCTTTCTTTCTTTCTTTCTTTTTCAGCCTGTTCATAGATAAACCTCTTTCAATTGAAAGTCTGTGTCAAGACGTGCTGAAAAGTTAAACTGATTGTTTTCTTATGTTAATTTTAGTGAAGGAGATTATTTTACTTTTTTTTTAAATAAATTATGAAATCTTTGGTCTATTCAAATTTCAAGTTTACTGTGAATGCAGATATTTAATTATCACCCCAATTTCCACGCACAGAACTATATAAGTTCTGTTTCAGTGTTAATAAAGAAATACAACATGGGGGTTGGGTAAAGAAAACTACCAGAAATCTTAGAGAATGTAGTGAAGGGAAACGCTAAGAAAAAAATAAACTTTTGCGAGTAGATAGAATGGTAGTCAAAAGACCAGCCCAACATGAAAATTACAAACTGGAGATACGAAAATCAAGCAACTACAAAAATTTAAGTCTTTAAATATAGGACGGAAAGTGAAACACCTAAATCCGAAGTCTGATTCAACTCTTGCCATTAATCTTTTATGTGTTATATATACAGCAGTACCTATATTGTTTTCTGCTCGAAATGAGTCATCCAGGTGAAAAGCTACACTCCGTGAGGTTTCAATGAGCATTCAGTGTAAATGCCTTTTAAAAAACATGCGCAGTTCAGCAGCCGCCATTCCTGCCACGGCATCGAACTTCTTTTGATGTAGGTTTACTTGTCTCTCCAATCAATCCGGCGACAAGCACGTAGCAGTTCATACGATTGAACCAAAAGTTCGAATTCAATATGATTCTTTTATGTTTCGTCTTCTACTTCCTTGGGATGAACTTTTGATATAAACCTTTCTTTTTTTTCTTTTTTCCATTTCCTCTAAACTATATATATATATATATATATATATATATATATATATATATATATATATATATATATATATATTAATATATTATAGAGCAAAAAATCCAAAATTACCTCATCAGCCCAAGACTGTTTGGAAAATAAGATATATGCTCTTTATAATAAATACATTGAACTCTCTGTGGATCAGTTCTGATAGCTGATATTACTAGGATTCACCGGGATTATATACCAACGGATCTATTACCTGTACTATATATATATATATATATATATATATATATATATATATATATATATATATATATATATAAATATAAAGAAAGAACAGTAAGATATATAATCCGGTGTTCTTATAGATATTTTTATTTTCACAAAATAGTGCTCAATGTAAATTTACAGAGCATTAATATTATATATTAATTGATTTAAAATATGTTTTTTTCACTACACAGTTCAACTGTGTAGCGAAAAAAACATATTTTAAATCAATATATATATATATATATATATATATATATATATATATATATATATATATATATATATATATGTATTGCCAATCCAATTTTGGATTCTTTGAATACAGACCTCAAAACTGATGAGTCTCCTGTCTTTTTTTTTTTTAGACTTTCTCATTTTTCGTTGTAGAAATATGTATATAACACTGGATTTGTAATGTCGATCCATCGATTTATTTTCGTCCACTATCGATCCTAGAAAAAAGCCATTCTGCCCACGTGTTCAGCCGTTTTTGTCAAATTTCTATTTACTTTTGATCTAACATCTTTTTGGCTCTTTTTATTTTGTTTCTTCCTGATGTCCACCTTTTCAGTGGTACGATTGGTATTGCTGCTGTTGAATTATACGTTTTTGCCCACACTACAGCATCTCACGGCTACATTATTTAAACAGCGAACCTACGCATGCGAAGCAGTACCTATATTGTTTTCTGCTCGAATTGACTCATCCAGGTGAAAAGCTATACTCTGTGAGGTTTCAATGAGCATTCACTGGAAATGCCTTTTATAAGACATACGCAAATTCAGCAGCCGCCATGTCTGTCTCGGTATCGAACTTCTTTTGATGTAGGTTTACTTGTCTCTCCAGACAATCCGGCGACAATCACCTAGAATTTCATACGATTGAACCGAAAGTTCGAATTCAATTCTATACATTTTTCTTTCTTTCTTTATGTATGTATTTGATTATATCCTTTCACCTCTTACATTATACATTTTTTCTCTCTTTCATTTTTTTGTTCACCTATTCTTTCTTTCTTTCTTTCTTTTTTCTTTTCTTTCTTTTTTCTTTTCTTTCTTTCTGTTGAAGCTTGAATAAGCATAGAATAATAATAATACAACACAAAATGTACGTAACAAAATGTATTGAAACAATGAAAAAAGGTACACAATATTTACAGGTAGTTTTGGTATATTCTTGGGAAGACTGTTCCTGCAGAATGGGTTGACTAAGTCGCAGTCGGGCAGAGTCTCTGGATTCGATCTCTTAATCTTCCGTCGTCTTCCGGTACCAACCCATATTTATATGGTCGGTACTCCACTTATGTAAATTAGGTGTATCATACACAACACTTTCTTTCTTTCTTTTCCAGTCCGTTCATAGATAAACCTCTTTCAATTGAGCGTCTGCATCAAGACTGTATAAGAAGATGCTGAAAAGCTCTAGGCCCGACCAAAACTCGATTCTAAAAAAAAATGCAACATTTGGTCAGTTTGGGGGAAAAGATCGGGTCGAAGTTTTTACATGCTCAGGGAAGGAACCTGTTTTGCTTTTAAAAAAGGAGGCGTCATTTAAGTACAAAGAAAACTGTGACATAAATCTGAAATAAAAAAAAAAAGCGAATGAGATTGTGCCGAGACTAAATCGGAATTGAACAATTTGAATCCTTCCATTGATACTAATCAATTTGCTTGTTCGGATGTGCAACCGTTTCTGACACTGAACCGAACGTAATAACACTGGAAGAGAGAGAATGGAAAAAAGAGAAAAGATTGTGAGCGAGGAAAAAGGAGAAAGTAATGAAGCATAAAATAAATAAGGAGAGAAAGAGAGGGGCAAAAGAGAGTTTTATAAGGTTTGTGACACAATTAAATGATATAATTTTTCAACGGATATGACTCAACTACATGACATTATTTTTTCAAAGGATACGACTAAAGTACATGACATTATTTTTTCAACGGATATAACTCAACTACATGGCATTATTTTTTTCAACGGATATGACTCAACTGCATGATATTATTTTTTCAACGGGTATGACTTGACTACATGACATTATTTTTTCAAAGCATACGACTCAACTACATGACATTATTATTTCAACGGATATGACTCAACTACATAACATTATTTTTTCAAAGGGTATGACTTAACTACATGACGTTATTTTTTCAACGGCTATGACTCAACTACGACATTTTTTCAACGGATAGGACTCAACTACATGATTTTATTTTTTCACAGGGTATGACTTAACTACATGATATTATTTTTTCAAAGGTTACGACTCAACTACATGATATTTTTTCAACGGATATGACTCAACTACATGACATTTTTTCAACGGATATGACTCAACTACATGACATTATTTTTTCAACGGATATGACTCAACTACATGACATTATTTTTTCACAGGGTATGACTTAACTACATGATATTATTTTTTCAAAGGTTACGACTCAACTACATGACATTTTTTCAACGGATATGACTCAACTACATGACATTTTTTCAACGGATATGACCAACTACATGACATTATTTTTTCAACGGATATGACTCAACTACATGACATTATTTTTCACACGGTATGACTCAACTACATGACATTATGATATTATTTTTTCAAAGGTTACAACTCAACTACATGATATTTTTTCAACGGATATGACTCAACTACATGACATTATTTTTTCAACGAATATGACTCAACTACATGACATTATTTTTTCACAGGGTATGACTTAACTACATGATATTATTTTTTCAAATGTTACGACTCAACTACATGACATTTTTTCAACGGATATGACTCAACTACATGACATTATTTTTTCAACGTATATGACTCAACTACATGACATTATTTTTTCACAGGGTATGACTTAACTACATGATATTTTTTCAACGGATATGACTCAACTGCATGACATTATTTTTTCAAAGGACAGCGATGAAAAGATTAAATATGAATAGTATGCGTAAAACTGCGATACCCTCAACCTTTTTATTCTAAGCAGAGCAGTCGGTTATGTGCCATACGTGATACACGCTTAGGTGATCATGCATCTTTCGATACATGACTGACGAGACAGATTTTTTTCCGCAGTATGCTGCCATTTCTTTCTACGGTAGTTGCCATCCAAAGCTATAGAACCTGGTCTGTCCTGCTATTTACCCAGAGCTGAGTGGGGCTGGGAGAAGAAGAGGATCCAT